CAATCGGTGTCGAACCAGTCGGAATCGATGGTGGCGGAAGGGCTGGAGCTGCTGGCACAGAGTCCTTCTTAGCAGGCTTCGCAGCCTTGGCCACCTTCTGCGTCGCCACTGCAGGGTTGGACTTCTTGGCCTTCTTAGCAGGGGTTGACGCTGTGGAAGGCCTGAGGTAATTTTACCTCAGACGACAAAAAACAAAAACTCTCTGTTTTTTTTTGGAAGACAAGAAAAGAAAGAAAACTGAAGAAAAATTGAGGCAAAAAACGAGAGCTGATCACTAAAAAGTGACCAAAAACAGCGATCCGGCCAGACCTCTCGAAGAAAGGTCTGCTCAGCGCGGCGGTAAGGAAAGAACTGGCGGGATGTCCGTGCCTGCCCTTCTGAGCATGCTCACTGGGGCTCCTGGGCATGCCCAGTAGGGCCAGGCACGAAAATCCTTTTAAGAGAGCTTGCTAGGCACCGGCAGATCCAGCGCAGGCGCACTAGATCCCATTGGTGTGAAGCACAGAGACCACGAAGAAGATCAGCTACTTACAGTGCAATCCTAAACAGAGTTACATCCTTCTAAATCCACTGAAGTCAAAGGGCTTAGGAGGAGGCAAACTCTGCTTAAGATTGCATTGTTAGTGAACAAAGAAAAGGCATGGAAGTCCTGCACTAACAAAAATCCAGTACATTCACCAATAGCATTACTATCCAGTGTAAAACATATTTAATTTACAGTCCACATGTACTCAAAGATCTTGTTCACACACATTGCTTCCCAGAAGTGTGTCCCCCATCCAATATACATGTTTCTGATTTTTGTTACCCAGATGTCAAACTGTGCACATATCCTTGTTGAACTGCATCTTAGCTGCATCCACCCACTTTTCCAGTGTGTTCAGATCGCCATCTTCTGATGTGTTTGCTACTCCTCCCAATTTGGTGTCATCTGCAAATGTAATGAGTATTCCCTCAACCCCCTCATCCAGATCATTCATAATATTCAAAAAGTACCAGGTCCAGAACTGAGCCCTGTGGCATCCCACTGGACACCATCCTTCAATCAGATGAAACACCATTGACTACTACTCTTTGGGTGCAGTTCATAGAATCATAGAGTTGGAAGGGACCTCCAGGGTCATCTAGTCCAACCCCCTGCACAGTGCAGGAAATTCACAAATACCTCCTCCACAAACCTGCACATTTAATAAGCATTCCCTCTATTCCTTCATCCGAAACATTTACAAAGATGTTGGAACAAAACAGGTCCCAGGACAGATCCCTGAGGCACCACTCCTCTCCAAGAGGATGAGGAGCCATTCATAAGCACTCTTTGGGTGCAATCTGTCAACCAATTATAGATCCACCTAACAGTAATAGGATCCAAACCACATTTTACCAACATCAACAAGAATATTATGTGGAACCTTATCAAAAGCCTTACTGAAATCAAGATAAACCATGTCTACAGCATTCCCCTGATCCAGCAAGGTACTAACTTTCTCAAAAAAAGAGAGGTTAGTCTGACATGACTTGTTCTTGAGAAACCCATGCTGACTCTTAGTAATCACAGCCATCCTTCTCCAATCAGTTCCCTATCCATGTAACTACCCTAGATACCAGTCCTCAGTCCTTCAGTTAACCCATCACATCATGAAGAACCCTGTCAATAGCTTTACTGGAATCCTGGTAAACAACGTTGATGGCGTGCCCACGATCCCATAAACTCATCACTCCATCAAAGAAGGAAACAAGGTTGGTCTGGCAGGAACTGAAGTATCACATTTCCTTGATGTATAATGATATATAGACTCAAATTATAGCAAAAGAGCTTCCTGCTATACCTCATGATATTGTCATCTATCTGCATGAGGGATGTTGCGGTGTGAAGTCTGTTCAGGTCTGTATCCCCTAAAGCTTGGGGTCTCTTAGGGCTGTCAGCGAACAAGGAATGTCTGAAATACACAGAAATAATTGCATCTGTAACATACACACAGCTATGGTAACTATTAAGAGCAGCTGCTAGATTTAGTGCTGATCCAAAGGTTGCTTCATATGGGCACAGATTTTAAGGTGGCAATTTCACTTCCAAGAGAATAGTGAATCTGATCTTGTCCTGAATGAAACCAACATGAAAGACAGAAATGTAATCCTACAAATGTGCTACTGACATGGCTTTTTAAATGTGTGGCAATAAAAAAGGGTGCAAACCAAGACAACATCAAAAATGCTTGAACTAGTGTTATTACATATACTTAGGAGACACAGGTCTAAATTCCTGTTTATCCAAAAAGTTCACAGGATACCCTTGCCATTCTCTCTTAGTTTAACAGCTTCACAAGGTTGCTGTAAGGATATAGTGGGAAAAGGTAGGAAACTATGTTATTCCTTGGAAGAAAGCAGAACAGAATAGAACAAGCAAGTCCTACACATGATGCTTTGTTCAGATGACAGCTCCATTTCAAATTTCTGCAATTCCTAGCCCTATTACATTGCTTATTACATGCATTCCCCTACTGAGTGCATTGATCATGTAATCTGCCTTGAGTCTCCATAAGAAAGGTGGGCCAAAAATAAAATAAATAAATAAATCACTGGGACTTAATAGTGCTTAACTTTGGCTGAATAACATCTGAAACTGTTGTAGATACAACTTGACCAAGTCTGAGAAGTTTTGGGGTGCCAGAATGGAGTTGGAAATTGGAAGCAGGGTCAGGGCGGGGTAAAACATAGCAATAAAACATATAAAAATTAATACAATTCAAGTAAAAATCTAAAACCCAATTTAAACTACATGGTGGCAAGATGGTATATCAGTATAACTGTGTGTGGCACCAGTAGGGCCATGAAGATAATAATTGGGCCTAGCCCCCATCCAATAATATAAGTTGGTATACTAGTCCACATAGTTGGATAATTCACAGTATCATAGATATGGTGGCCAGATATGGTGAGGAAACATTTCTGACTACAACAGCAGCAGACCTTCTCAAAGGACCTTTTTTGTAGTCTGAAATATCAAGTATGGGAGGTTCACTAACTCATGCCAAAAATCATGGCACAGTTGTTCCTTCTCAGTCTGGTCAGTTTACCTATTAGTGAGGTATCACAACATCAGATTACCCAGATAAATTACTTGGAACAATCATTTCAGTCCCATGGTACTCAGCAGGGACACAGTAAAACAGACCAAATCCTGGAGAGGATTACATAACTGAGCCACAGCCTTGACTGCAGAGGAGGTACAGAACGCAGAATAAAAATTAAGAGAGCTGTGGACAGGGTACCGTATGCATGATCCCGCTCTCCATAAGGCATTTGTAGAACAAAATGAGTGAGAAGGCATGGGTGCACACAAAGAAGATCAGGAGTCTGCCCTACAATACAAAAGACCCATTACAGAAACAAAATGTTTTGGCCAATTAACAGGCAGTAATTTAAACCTGCAAAAGACAGTTTTTGCCTACAACCAAGAGCTCTTTTAAACAGGCAGATTATAGTCCTCAAAATATTTTGTCAAAATATTTGGTTAACCAGGGTGAATTAAACAGGTTCTACACAGAAGCAGAGTATATTAGTGCCACAAAGATTTTTTTTCCTGGACTGCCTTGGGCAGGAAGTCATATAGCAGCTTCTGTGACTAGATTTTCAGACTGCTGCTAATTTGGAATTGTGTGAACAACCAGTACTTCATTTCACTCAGTTTTCCAACTCCTGCTAAAGAACCAGCAATCTTCTTAAAGGTTCTTTTAGAATAATGAATAGATTGCAAGCTGTATCAACCAGTCTACATAACAAGGGTAAGCATATGACACAGGATGAGAAAACCCAACACTAGTTCATTTAGAGTACCACAGGACATACTTTTTCATACCTATGAGATAAGATGATTTTCTTCATGTTGTCTGCCATGAGGAAGTTGTAAAATCTCCTACATTGATCCCACTGCATGAAGGTTTCTTGTGCCCTACAAAAAAAAAAGTCCCAACCTAATTATTAAAACAGATTAAACAGATTTTATCCGTCAAGTTAACAAAAGCACTCCATATAGCCTACATGGTGTAGTGAAGGGGTCCCTCTGGGAATTCCCCTTGGGAATTCTGAGATGGGGTAGTAGGTGCAGCCACAAAATGGCTGCCGCAGGAAGCAAATCTATCAACAAAATTGCTGCCATAGGAGGTGGAACCAACCACAAAATGTCAAGAAGTGATGTTACGCATAAAGCTAATAGATCCAGATGGGCATAAATCTAATAGTAAGTCTTCAACATTTCAGGCAAAAGCTCTGCTTAATAGGATGCCTTTTACCATGAACATATTGTTTTAAAAGACTCCCTTGCATACACACAGCTTTCCTTCAGTCATGCTGTGGAGGTCCTTGTGCTGTGGTGCTGACTGCTGTCAAAGTAATTTTTAAAAAATCTGCACAACCAGTTAGAGTTTCAATGGCCAATCAGAAGTTCTGCTGGGCAAAAGTCCCACCTGGCCCCACCTTCTTTCTAAAAATACTTGGCGGGTGCCAGGAATGGAGTCAGCAGGCCCCACGTCAGGGACCCCTTAGAATGCTAGACTAGAATCTGGAAGAACAAGGTTCAAATCCCCACTCTGCCACGGAAGCTCACTGAATGACCTTGGGCCAGTCACACATGCTCAGCCTAACCTACCTCACAGGGTTGTTGTGAGGATAAAATGGAGGCGAGAATTCTGTAAGCCACCTTGGGTCCCCACCAATGGTCCCTCTAAGCTGTGGAGTCTTGTGAGCAAAAATTCTACCTTGTGAGCTACTGGCATTAAAGTTGTGAGCGAGCAATTTGGCTGTTGCATAAATCAGTTTGCTCTGGAGCCATCCTTCCTGAGCTGAGACAAAAATGTGTGAGCCGGAGTCTAAAAAACTGTGAGCTAGCTCACAGTAACTCAGCTTAGAGGGAACACTGGTCCCCACTAGGGAGAAAGGTGGGGTATAAATGAAGTAAGAAGATAAATACATAGACGACAATTTCACTTTAGTGGTTGGTTCTCTTCCAAGGAGCTACCATGTGCTACCACAGAAAAAATTAAACATAATGGGCTCTTAAGAAGCTTAGTGGCCCTGATGAGGCAGAAAGGTGGGTTATAAATTTAATAAATAAAGACAACCTGTTTGAAATCCACTTTTCTCAAATGCACAGCAGATCTCTACTGGGGATTGCTGTAAAATGTTTCAACCAACAGGAGGAACAAAGTAAAAACAAAAAAAGTGGCCATGGAGCACAAGGCAAGCAACAGCCTGCGAAATGGAACTTCCTAGGAAAGGTTGTTATTTCTGAGCAAAGTGTTCCATTTTGAATCATCTCACCAGATAACGTCCTAGACTGACAGTGGATTAGGAATCACAACAGTCAACATAAAACAGATTAACTAAAAATTGTACTGAAATGACTGAAAAATTAGCGATTTAGACCTTGAATTTATAATACTGTTGCACACTTAGCATTTGCAGACGCTAGAAAATGAACATCCCTTTTTGTGTGCATCACTGCTCTCTGAATCTGGTATAGTATTTATCTAGTATGATTTTTATTGGTTTTATAAAAGAAATACAAATATACCATATCCCTTCCTTCTCAAGTCTGAACAAAATTTAACATGAATGGCTTTTAAATTGGGGGAAAGAAAGATAAAATAGGTTAAATGTGTACTGTTCCATTCTCTAATCTTCTCGCTTTTGGTAATTACTTAATCCTGCCACAAGGCTTCTGCAAGTGCAAAGTAAGCACAAAAACAGCCTTTGTTGCCTAGTTAAAGAACAGAACTGAATCAAGATGTGGCCTACTAATATGGAGGTTGTCATTTCCTTAGCATTACACCTTAACATTTGCTAATTAGCATTTACATTCAGACTCAAAACCCCTTAATTTTGACTAGTATCTGATATATTTTACTTAAAGCAGAGTGACTAATTTCAATGGCATTTCTAAAGAAATATGCTAATGATCACAGCCTCAGTCTTATTACAGAGAAGTTTCTAGCATTAAATACATTTTTATAAGGGCATGACAACATAGGTCTGACTTTCATTATTTCTGATAAAAGGAATCTCCACCTTGGGTTTTAACTTCGACCCAATCTAAATGAGTTCTGGACTACGGCATAAAAATTTGCTTTTCAAAGGCATTAAGTGCTGTATTTAGGGCTTGAAGTCTTAAGAGTCATTATTCTCTGAGACTATTATTTAAGTGAGCATATAAAAAGGTTGGGATTTTTCCCCTTGGTCACTTTCCATAACTTGAAGAATTTAGTATTATCCAAGTTCCCTACAGTAGAACCCAATGCTTCCAACCACTACCCAAAATTATGGTAGAATCAGGGTTTGTAATACCATGCCATGTATTTACTTGCAACAAAGTTCTGCAATGTTTTTAGAGGAAGGGAAAATAGGCTCAGGTGGCTGCAGCTGTGCACAGAGGAGTGGCAGAAGGAAGTGAGTATTTTCCTGGTGGTGTTTTTCCAGTCTAAAACCTCCCCCTCCAGCTGCTCCCCCCTGCAGCCTTCCAGATGTACACTTACTTAAAATGCACCTGAGATTCTTCAAGGGGTGATTTGGGGCACGAAAACTACCAGAGGGAAAGGAACAAACACCACCCTTTCCCCTCCCGTCACTCCTCTGCTCAAAACACCAACTTCCAGAGGCTGTTTTTCATTACTTAACCCCTGCCAAGTATTGAGGATGTCATGCTCACTGGCACGTAACACACACTTTTTACCTTCCATTTTAACTGACAACACATGGTGCAGAAGAGCTGCAATTTAGATGCCACAAAACTTAGCACATGTATTTGTTGTTTTTAAAAATGAAGATGAACTATCACAAAGGAGCACAGATCAACCAGTTCAGTGGCAGGCATGTGGATGTAGAATGCAACTGCTGTCCTCAAGTACAGCCACTAAACTATGACACCGAATCTGGAAAGCTAGCTTACCGCAGGGCACTGTACCCTTGACACACGCTGACACAGCACAACACACTCTCCTGGTTCGCCTGGTTCTCCCCTAGGTATTTGCAGACTATATTTCCACCCAGGCTGAAGCCCACCACAACCAGCTGGGTCTGGGGATAGGTTTTCTTGATGTAGTTTACCATGGCTCCGAATTCCCATGTGCAACCTATGGAACAAGGAAAAGGACCAAGGAACCTTTACATCAATGAGTCATCTGAAGTACCTCATTTAGAGAGACAGATAGACAGACAGACATAAGTATGACAGAGAGAGAGAGAAAGATTTTTGAAGTGCTAAAAAGATAATTTTACAGTTAGAGACAGATAGGTATTTTAGCAGAGCTTCAGTGAGATTCCAAAAGAGCATAAACACATCTGCCATGTTCAGCAGACAGTATTAGCTGCAACAGCCACATATGCTCTTCAGAAGAATAATTTGTACTGCCATATGAACGCATGGTCCAGCTGCCTGCTGCACTGCCTCAGTTTTAACACTGCATCAAGACCTTTTGAAATATCACATTCTGATTGCCAGCCATCTGGCCACAGCCAAAAAGCTGGAGACAAAGATAGTCCATATACTGCTTCCAACTCAGAAGTGGGAGACAATTTCATTAATGAAATCTAACCCCCCACACACAAACACTAATTTAATAAATAAATAGAAACTGTATGAATTGTATTTTATTTTGTATTTGCTGGTTTTAAACTGTTTGTTGGTTTTAAATTGTTTGTAAGCCGCCCTGAGCTGCTTCGGCAGGAGGGCGGGGTAGAAATTTAATAAATAAATAATTGCTATGACCTGCAGGCCCTATTCCACCTTGCCCTCCAAGGTGTCTGGGCATCAGTAGCCATCTAAGGTTTCTATCTAACACGTGCCACTCACCTGGTTTTCCCAACACCCAGAGGAGCTTTTTTCTCCCTCTCTTGGTTCAACAACTGCTTTGTAGGAATTGCAAACTAAGAGGACCAGGGCTCCCAGCCTTCCTTCCCTGCATTGCTGTTCTAAACCCAGTGCCTGGTTGCCATAAGGACAGCTTACTGCCTTGTACACCACAGGAGTGGCCATTTGCCAGCTGACTGCCCCTTCCCTTCTTCCTGGTGTTCCTTTTAAAACAGCGTGCCCAGAATGATGAATGTCTACAGTGGTACAGAGAACTGCTACCAGCATTAGGCTTTATTCAGCCACCTCTCTGAATATCGGCTTCCGGTCGGCGGCCGAGGCAGACGCTAGATGCTGAGCTCCATGTTTTTATTTACTATTTTTACTGTTTTAGTTTGCCTTAGCCTCCCAAAACATTTTTCTTGGACCTTTTTTGCTCTGTGTTGGATATAACTCTGGGTGGCCGTTGGATTTAATCTAGACAGCCTTGGATAACTGAGAGCAGCAAACAATCAACTAATTGACTTAGCTAGCCGGCTGCAACGTTTCCTGGTGTGCTACCAGCATTAGAAGTTAATAGAGCACTGATTAAAAAGAAAACGTCCACACACATACTTTGAGCACGGCAACAGACTGAGCAAGGGATCCAAAAGAAAAGTGTAAAACCCAATTCCTCTGTCCCTCTCTCTGTACATGATCTAGCAGGTGTCAGCCTAAGACACAGTCTTTAGCATAAAATTTACAGTTGTTCTAAAGGGTTTCCATTACCTTGAAGTCTCTGCTCAGTCCTGCAGTCCTATACATGACCCTTGTTTCAATGGAGTCAGCCCAAAAGAGACCCTCTTCCTTGCACCCAGGAGTTTTATTATCTTTCTTTCTCCTCCCACTGGCTAGGTCAGGCCAGGTCAAAGAAGCTTTCCCTGAAGTCTCCAGGGAAAGACTTCTCTAAGATTTTCATCCTCCAAAACTCTATGTCCTGCTAGATGTTACCTGTCTAGCTGGAAGGGTGTGTGTGAAATTTGACCATCTCATTGCCAGGCCTACCCATTGCATTCCGAAAGGCTTGGTGAGTGAGACTGGTGAGCAACTGACTCCCCCCACTCCTACCTGCACTCTGCCAAGAGAGAGAAACACTTTTAAAACTTAAGGTGAAGGTTTTGTCAGTTCAAACCTCTGAAGGAAAAAAATGCATTTCTCCATGCAGTGCAAAACTCAGGGTCCCTCTGCGAGTCCCAGATTTCCATAACCCAAAGAACTGTATTCATTATTTATTTATTATTTTCAATTTATAACCCGCCTTTCCTGCACAGGCAGGCTCAAGGCAGCATACAACAGGTTAAAGTATCTGAGGAAGTGTGTGCACAGACGAAAGCTCATACCTTGAATAAAACTTTGTTGGTCTTAAAAGTGCCACTGGACCCAAACTTTATTCCAAAGAACTGCCAGACATATGAATGACATATGAATGGAATCTCTTTCCTGTTTGCACACATGACTAATCCTTTCAGTAAAATATTTGTAAAGATACAGAGAACTAGATTAAAGACTTATATTCATGCTAACTACACACCAGTGCAACTGCTTTGCAACTATAGTCTGATGATTCTACTGTAGGTACACACAAGCAACTATCATTCTGACCCAAGGGGTCCACTGTGGCTGAGTGAAGAGCTTTATGCTGCTACTGTTAAGCAACACACCATACCTGGTCCCCAAGACAGAACTATGTAGGTCTGCCATACATCCTATAAAGTAACTCTAGACATTGCCTTAGTATCTAAAAAAAGCCAAGGTAAATGCTGAGTTTTCAGCATGAGCTTCAGAATTACCCTGGCAGTCCAGTAGAGATCACAGAATTTATCACACATTATAGAAGGAAGAGGATATTGGGAAACCTTTCCAGCACAATGAGTGGGCTACAGGTTCGCACACTGTGGCTCTAAACTTCAATTGCCAAGCCCTGACCATCTCTCCCACTATGTTCTGCTGCAACAGCTTCACTCATTTGAAAAAAGCCTTCTGAAGGTGCTACCCTGCAAACTGGTAAGATCAGCAGCTACCTATATCCAAGCATTATCTGTAGTGGCTCCCACTTACAGAATGCCCCGACTGAGGTCAAGAAGGCTCACACACTTCTATCATTTTGCAATGTGTACAAACCCATAATGTTCAAGAGGGCATTTTTAAAGAGAGTCTAGAATTGTAGAAAATCAAACAGTCCCGGAAGGTACCTTTAGAATGAAATAGGATTGCAGTCCACTACAATGATTACTGTAGGTATCACCTGCTTTTACATTGACTTTAACTTGTAATCCACTTCCTGTGTTTATAGTATACCCACCGTATAAAGTTTGTTATTTGCACTGCTCTCTAATTCTGTAATTCTAGTTCAATTGCATTACTCACTGGTGGTTTTATACAATCTGACTGCACTGTTTACACCCTGTAATCCACCTTGACTCTCAGTCAGGCAGGAGGACTATAATAAATACAGTAAATAAAACAAATAAATGAGTTTCCGGCAGGCTGCACACTGGGGCTCTAGCTGCAGTTGTCAATCCTTCATTAACTCCTACCCCACCATTCACCTAACACTTTATTTGGGGCTGCACATCCAAGCTGCATCTTCCCTTTTCATCTCTATTCTCCTTCCTGTCCACATGAAATGGAGCAACAGGAAGCCATGTTACCAGTTGTCATCTCCTTTCCCCCATCTGCCTTTTCCACTCTGCATCAAGACTTATGCAGTGATTTAAGTCATTTCCTCATTAAGATGGTCCCTTCCCTGAGACAAAATGGACAAGATGGCTCTGGTCAGGTCAAGCGCCTAGCCAGGATCCCTGAAAGGGGAGCATCACTCTCCATACAATGTGCCCCTCAGCAAGAATGGTGCAGAGGCCTTAGCCTCCCCTGGAAGAAGCCCATGTTTCCATAAAGAGACACATCTCATGAATCAAATGTCAGGAGTTCAGCACTTCAGGAATACAGCAGCTGCATAGTTATATTCTGACATACAGGAAGAGAATGTTTTTCAAGCCTTGTTTATGAACATAGATGAGCCACAAAGAAAGCAACTCCCACAGGAAGGAGGAGGCAGTGCAGAGCTGAACAGTAACATTTCGGGTTGCTCATTACCACTCTAGAATTGTCTCCCAAGGGCTGCAAAAGGACTGTGGTTATTAAAGAGCAGCTATGCAGAAGGTCCCGCCCAGGAATTTGAGAAATAATCACAACAACCAGCAAAGTAGGTGAAGTAGCAAGAGTCAACAGACACCAGTTGAAATGCTTTTTTTAAGAGATCTCTCTGCTTTGAGCTCACCTGCTCTCTAAAAGGGCCCCAGCCATCCTGATAAACTATGCGTTACTCACCATTCAAGCAAAATAATCCCAGTAATAAGACAACAGGCTAAAAATTCAAATGTTACAGCCCTGCCAGCACAATGCCCTGCCCTTTTTTGCATCCCCCTACTCTGCTACTATCTTAAAAGGCTCACTCATGCATCCCTCCGCTTCTTTGCAGCCTACCTCTCTCCCTCATGTATGTCAGAATATTGGGACCCAACAGCTTTATAATCTGCACAGTACAGAGACAGTGAAGGCAGCGTCTTTATCACTTTTGCTTTCCACAGAGCAGTAATGCTTCCCATATTTTTCACTTTTTTAAAAAAGAGGAACTTTTACGATTTCTGGGGGAAAAATTCCCCTTCCAAATCACTTACCTGGTGGTTGAGAGGACTAATTTCTACCACAATGGACAATGACGCTTCAGAGAATTTTATCTGGTTCTTGTACAAATCTGATTCTGCCCAGCTGCAGTGAATAAACTAACACAGAAAGAGCAAACTGGAAAGCCAGACATTCTTACCGTAAGTGAACATACGTGGGGAAGTCAGCTCAATGTTTGGCAGGGCCCCAAGGTGATTTAGCACCGCGCATCGATAGCCATTCTTCTGGGCGTAGTCGACAAAAGTTCGGATGTACTGCTTCTCACTATGATTAGCTATTCCAGGGCAAATTACCATTGTGATATCTTCTATAAAATTAAGGTAAGGTGAGGTGAATTTAGGAGAAAGCATACTTGCCATACCCCCAAGCCTCATAATCATATGGTTATGTGGCAGCATATTAAAGGAATTAGATAAGTATCACATAGCTCCATTCTAGCAAAACAACCTGATGTCAAGTTCATATCATCCAAGGAAAGGTATTATATACCCTAAGGAATTCTACACAGTATGTTTGAAAGAACTGAGATAACCAAGTTAAGAGAAGAGTTTAGTTTCCCAAATTATTGTGACTAGGGATGGGCACAAACTGGGAGTTTGGCACGGTTTGTGTGGTTCCATGAACCACGATCTGGGGCAAACCTCCCACACTTTGTGAATCGGTTCAGGTTTGTGGAGCTTCCCTCCCTCCCTTCTGCCAGCAGCGGTTCCCCATGGCCAGTAGAATGGGGGCAGATCTTCCAAAACCCATTTAAAAGAACTTTCCCTTGAAATGGGGTTTGAGTCAGGCACCACAGGCCTCCATTCCCACATGGTGCCCGTTGTCAAAACCCATTTAAAGTGAATACTTGGAAGCGGGGAGAGGGAGCGAGAGGGATAGCTGAAATGGCTGAAATAGATGCAAGCCATTTCAACAGTCCCTCTCACCACCACCACCCGTTTCGCACCACGAACCACAAAGCCCATGAACCTCCAAAACCATACTGATGGTCCTGGGAGGTTCGTATAGGAATGGGCACGAACCGGAGCTCGCAAATCATGAACTGGATCCCATTTGTGACAAATTGAGACTCATAATTTGGTTCATGCCCATCCCTAAATGTAACATTATCCAAGGCCTTTTCTCTGGTAATTTGATCATTAATAAAGCCAACTTCCCCATGCAAGGGCTAACATCCTAGAAGTATCTATTGTTTCCATTTGGTGCTTATTAACAAGGGAACTTCATTCCAATTGGCTCCCTTCCTTTCTGTTTCTGTCAAAAGTTAACAGGACTGATTAAAATGCTTAGGATATTTAAAGTTACTGTTGATAAATAATGCAGTGATACAAAAAAGGGCATTTCTCATGAAGAAATACTTTGAGAAACTCTTAATAATAAAAAGTTTTGAGTTACATAGAAGCAGTTTTATTGATGAAGCATCAACTGGCCTCTGGGGAAGACTAGAAATAATAATTCAGCAAAAAGATAAAGGGTTTAGTTTTGGAATGTCAGACAACAGAGCAAGGGACCCAAGATTAACACATCCATCTGCTAAATGACACTCTGAAGTGCTCAACTTCTGTTTTCTGAAGTTCAAATCAGAGTTACCAAGGAACCAGAAAGCAGCCAGAGAACAGATGCAACATTAAATGTATTTTAAAGAAATCTGAAATATGTCTTAATGCTCCATAGTTCATCACTGTCACCTGCATTGTGGGAGAAAACAGCCAGCAAGCTGGAATCAACCCTCCTGTTCTGGTAAATGGTCCAATCAGAGGATGGAATATGTCCCAAGTATGTACTAGCTGCTTCCTACTTCCTGTACCCTCACAGCCAAACTAAACATTATATTTAACTCATGGCTGCCATGGAGACTCACAGTCAGGCAGCTGCAGCAAATTCCCACAGGCACTCATTTCCACAGAGCAGCAGGGCTTGATTCTTAGTTCAGGAGGCTTCCTCACCACACAATTTTCCTGACCTTACCTCTCAAGTCTGATATATTAGCCCTCTTTTAGAAATGAAGGCTCCACATTTAATTAAAAGGAAAAATCCTACAGGCAAAACATCCTGTTTAGAGACTTTAATCCTCAGCATTATGTTCTTTATAGGTCACAGGAATTGACCTTCTGTGCCCCCTACCTAACTACAAATCAAGGTCCATTTTATCAGCTTTTTTTTTTGATATTTCAAATATCTTGACAAAACGAATTCCAACATATATAAAATCAAATAGAACACAACAAATATAATGGAGTGAAAACTATGGACATGATATTAAGTCTTATGCTCATTAAAACAATCAAATAAAATACACTGTTCCAGGAAATATAGACTGAACCATCATGAAAAAAGGAACCTACATTTGGAGGGGAATTCCACACCTTTATGATGTTTCATTACCTCCAAATAAGAAATAAAAGACATTCACTTATCCAAAAAGTGAGATAGCACCTGAATCTGTAGGGTTAACTATAACCATAAGGTCCCAAGTTCATAAACAGCATCAGCATCAAACAGTGACAGAGAAAGTGGAACACAGAATATTTAGCCCAGAATTCTGAAGTGCTGCTCACTGGCCCTGCCTGTGATACTCCAAACTAGTGGCATCACTGCCTCCCAAGCATTTCAAGACCCTGTTAGGCAAAGCTATGGACTGATGCAGCTGTTCATCTAACCTCCAATGCAGTGCTCAGCCAGAGGTTCGAAGAGGTCAAAAGTTGCTGTTGCACCATCTGGCATCGTGAGGTACTTGCGAAGCCCATATGGATGTGGCGAGCTTACTCTCCCCATCTTTCCATAAAGGGCAGTTTGGATGTGCCCACTTTTCCCCCAGATGAGAGGTGGAATGTACCTAAAAGGAAAACAAATCCATTAGCATATATCTGAAACAAGTCCATGAGAGATCTTACCCGGGGAGAGGATTGTTCATCAGCCAACTTGCCTAACCTATTCAAATGATAAAAAAGCAGCCACATCCAACAATGTGTGCTGCAGACAATGCTTTATGGTAGGGGTCGCCAAACTGCCAAGCAGCTCTTTCACACATATTTGTGTGGCTCCCAGCAGGGCAGCTGGGGAAGCGAAGGGGAGGCATGCCTCCCTGATCAGTCTTCCCTTCCCCAGCCAGTGTTCCCCTCCCTGGTAGGCCTGAAGTGGGGGACAGCAGAGAAAGAAAGCAACTTTAACTTTAAATGCATTCCCTAAGCCTGGCTGGCTGGCTTAGAGAAGGCATTTATCTGTTTAAATCCCTTCTCCAAGCCAAGCCAGACAGCATGGGGGCAGGGGGGGCTTGAAGGATGCATTTAAAGTTCAAGTTGCTTGATTTCCACCTCTCCCTCCCCCATCTATTTGCTTTCTTTCCTCTTACTTTCTTTCCACCTTTCTTTCTCTCCTCCATTATCATCTAAAGTTAAATGCGTTCTCCAAGCCCCACGCCCCTGGCTGGCTGGCTGGACTTGGCTTGAAGAAGGCATTTGTCTCTTTAAATTCCTTCTCCAAGCCAAGCCAGCATGGCAGCGGGGCTGGGCCCTTGGAGAACACATTTAAAGTTAAAGGCATTATCCATGCCCCTGCCCCGTGCCTTCGCCCGCTGGCTCGAAGAAGGTACTTGTCTCTTTAAATCCATTCTCCAAGCCAAGCAAAGCCAAGCCAGTTGGCATGGGGGATGTTTGGAGAACACTTCTAAAGTTGCTTTTGCCCCCACCTCTCCTCCCTCCCTCCTCCCCATTAATTTGCTTTCTTTCCACCCCTCTCTCTTTCTCTTTTCCCCTTTCTTCCGTCCTCCCGCCCCCAATCTATTTGTTTTCTTTCCATCTCTTTCTTTCTCTTTCTTCTTTCATCCCCCTCATCTATTTTTCTTTCTCTGTCTCTCTCGCCTTTCCACCTCTTTCATTCTTTCCATCTTTCTCTTTCTCCCTTCGTTCCTCCCTTTCCCATCTATTTTGCTTTCTTTCCACCTCTTTCATTCTTTCCAGCTCTCTCTCTCTTAGACAATTAAATATAATTAGCAAACAAATAAATATCATTGGACAAATTAATACATTTTCATTTTTCGCAGGCTCATTTAATGTTAATAAAAAGCAAATTTGCATATTTGTCAATAAAAATGTGTGTGTCATATTTGTTCATGTCTTATGGCTCTCAAACATCTGATGTTTATTCTATGTGGCTCTTACGTTAAGCAAATTTGGCCACCACTGCTTTATGGCAACTATAAATGGGCCTGGAGTAGCACCCTTTCAAAGACATTTAACCATATCCAACATCAGATAAACTGAATTTGATATTTGGTATGATTGAGTGACCTTTGAAAGCACTTCTCTACCCAGGGGTCATTTCGTAGAAAAAGAGGTGCAGGAGCTCATTAGCACAACTCATTAGCATAACTTATTTGAATACTCCACACCCTCTGAAATCACCAGAAGTGTATCAGAAGGCAACACCCACCACTCAGGGTCCACCCCAAAAATCTCCAAGTATTTCTGAACTCAGATTCAAAACTGGGTCTCCCAAACCCTTGTCTGGAACACTAACCACTACACAACAATGGGACAGCAGCTGTTGAGCAGTTATGATGTCAAGTTGTCCAGTGGCTGCTGTTACTGACAGAAACAAATGCTTGAAGGCTGGAAATACTACTGTGGTTGACAAACAATGACCACTGAGAGAATCCCTTTCATATAACTACAAGTGCTGCTTCTATTATGGGTGAGGGTTGACCCAATGTGGGAGGGCTTTGAGAGTTCTGGCTCTGCTGGTGGACCTCCTGATGGCACCTGGGTTTTGGCCAGTTTGACACAGAGTGTTGGACTGGCCTGATCCAACATGTCTTGTCTTATGTTCTTAATGAAGAACTTATGTTCTTAAGAGTTTCTGCCTAGGCAGATCTGGTGCCAGGTTTTTTTGCACACTATTATTAGTTCAATTTATACCTCACCCTCCCCACCCAAGGCAGGCTCAGGGTGGCTTACATAAAAATGTATATATAAGTTTGTAGTGGGCATGAAAAAATAATACTTGAGCCTTGCGCCTTCAGAGTAACTGATCTCAGCAGTCTGAAAATCTGTGGTAATTCCAGAATTTCTCATTTCCATTGACCTGACAGAGGCATATCTTCATGTTCCAATACTTCCAGGTCACAGAACATTTTTCCATTTTTGCCCTGGAGAAGATCATTTTCAGTTCAGAGCACTCCCATTCAGTCTCACCATGGCTCAGAGGTTTTTTTTCAAAAACTGTTAATAACTCCAATTGTCCACCTGAGAAAACAAGGGATTCGTATCCACCCTTATGTGGACAACCTGTTGATCAGATCCAGTACCAGAAGGAAGGCACGACTCGATACACAAACGACCAGTCAATGTCTTCAAGATCACAGATTTATTGTCAACCTCCAAAAGAGTTTCCTCTCTCCCACTCAATGTGGGAGGTGCTTCCTATGTCTTGGATATGACTTAGAAGTGATAGAGACCTTACTGGCCTCTCAACGGCAGTCTACCAACAGGATATACAACAAACATTTCTTGGAAAGCTTTTATTTGCTGGTGCAGAAGGAAGAAAGTTGAACCATTGAACTTTTAGCTCGATTCCATATTAGCCTTCTTGCAAGATGGCGTCAAGAGTAAACCTGGCCACTGTTCTACTGTTCTTCCACACATCAAGGGAATGAACATCTCTAGGCAACCACACATTATTCAATCATTTCCTGCAAGGTGCAGCCTTAACAAATCCAGCGCAGGTTCAGAGATTTCCCTATGTGAAACTCCTCACAATACTGTCCGCCCTTACTAAGCCTCCATTTGAACCACTTAAAGAAATTACCTTTTCTTCATGGAGATCACATTGGCCAGTAGGGTGTCAGAATTATGTGCATTAGACCAGACCCTACGTTCATCCTGAAAGTTAATTACACCTTTCATGTTTTTGTCCAAATCCAAGGCATCAGAAGGAAAAACCCTGGCACCAAGGGCCCTGACAGTTTACGTTCAGAGAACCAATATCCTTGGAAGCACTGACCCTTTATTTCCATATCCCCTTCAAACAAGGGACTAAGAATGTCTAGATCAGCTGTAAGCAGTACCATTAGAGCTTACATAGTTGAGGCCTACAAAGCACTTAAAATTCCTGTTCCATCAGGCATTACAATTCACTCGATCAGGAGTGCTGTCACCAATGTAGCCCTCATCAGACACACATCTGTAGAAGAGATCTGTAAAGCTGCGACCAGACCCTTCTCTGTCTACCTTTGTCAAACATTACAAGATCAGTTCTCACAGCCCAGGAGATGCTGCCATTGGTAGAAGAGTGCTGCAGAAGATCTTGAATGATGATGACTCCAACCCACTCAATAACTGAGGGCACTGCTCTGGGAGGTCCCAATCAAGATGTCCTCTGCCTCAGAGGAAGAACGGATCATCGGATACTCAATAAGAAAGATCCTTCTCCTCTGAAGAAAGGAGGACATCTTGCCCCTCTCCTGGAGTCATCATTAGGAAGCCACCGCACAGGATCCCCTTGTTGTCTCAGCCTCTCTCTTTTGTTCTTTTTTTTTGTTGTCGTCGGTTATATTTTCCCCTGCTGTTTTTTCCTCCTTGACTAGAGGGACTTGACTTCACAATAAACTGCTGTTGGAGAGGGTGACTCCCACAAGGCTAGAGACAGGAAGATGAAAAATTAGTTTCCACCTCCCTTAATCGGTTGATGGGAAAGATGTCCTCCTTACTGATGGTCCATTTTGTACTTGCTTGCATTTACAGAAGCAAAAGGCTAGATTCAGCACAAACCCCTGGTCTGCAGTTAAATAAGGAAAATTTTGTGGGTTGTATCCTACAGCTTCACTCTTCTCCATCAGAGGAAGTCTTCTGACTTGGTTGAACAGAATGGTAGGATACTGCCCAGCTTATATACCTACTACTCTCAGAAAGAGTAGCCAAATATTTTAACTTAAAAATATACATCAGTTATTCAACCCACAGTTTACTGCCAAAAGGAAGGTTGAAGCCTTGCACAACTTGAATGTAGGAACTCTTTTTGGCTGTTGTTCTCACAAGCATTGCATCATCCTCTACACTTCCCTTATGAAGCAAAGCATTTCGCACCACAGCAAGAAAACACCTTGCAGCAACTTCCTGCCTCATCCCTTTCCTCACACTAAGGTAATGTTTACACTGAAGCTTGCCTCTTTTCAAAAATGCACTGTGCTGACAAGATATACAGAAGTAGCATAAAGCAGTACTGAAAGATGCATGCAAAAATATCGGTGACAGATAATGAACTATATTTTTATTCGCATGAACATCACTAGGGACTTGTTTCTTATTGGTAAAATACTTCTGCTATATGTAGAGAGAGGACCAATAAGGTTTCTCAAGAGTGCTTTCAATCTTAGTCAGAAAAGTGATAACCTTTGTCCAGACTCCAGATCAAGGGCCATTTCTGCCTCTGTTCCAAAATCTTCACATCCAAGAACCTTTCAACAGCTGTTAAGAAAACTCTCATGCAATCTACTTCTGCAGGCGCTCCGAGCAGGCTGAACATACAGAAACTCACCATTCCTCATAAATCCAGGCTCAATTAGAAAAAAATCTCAAAAGAAATGGCCATGCTCAGTAGGTGACTCCAGCATTTTAAGGGAATATTTGTGCAAAACTTCTCCTGTGGGGAATGTAAAGCCATTGTGGCCTCCCACCACAAGGCAGGGGGAGGGTAACTTTCTCATATCTGATTGTAGACCTCCATAAATATAAGTGCTGCACTTGTATTCTCCTCTATGGAACACATCACCATGCTTTGCCATATTCATTCTCTTGGTGGCCAACTCTTGAGATCATTGTCATGATCTGGGCTCTGCCA